ATCACCGACCCACAGGATCAGAGGTCTGCATGTTTTGCTGAGCATTTCCGTGAAGTCTTGGGGGAGGGGAAATCCTTCATCCCAAATAATATCACGGGGCAATGTGAGGATGACTCTGATGGGGCTACCAAGTAGCCACCCCCTAAGAAGTAGCCACCCGCTATGAGAGTGGCTGGCTCAGGTGTCATGTGTCGAGGAAGTACGAAGAATGATCCAGGGTATGAACACACGCAGAGAAACATACAAAGACAACGTTTCCCCGTATTGCGAGTTCTGTTAGCGGCACGGTACTACAAGAGATAATGAGTGGCCAACACCACGCCCGACCGCCTTTGTCTCCCCATTGGCGATGTTTATACACTGAGGCTAAGTTGAGCTAGGGGAGGCCCAGAACCGGTTCAAATAATCGTCAATAGTGTTGACCGCTCATTCTGATCTAGACAAACAAAACAAAGACCCATGCCCTATAGCCTTAATAGAATGTTGGTGCAAGCGCAGTTAGTGAGCACCAATGAAGGTTGGCACGGCTCACTCGGGGGTGGGTGGCCAACACCACTCCTAGTCGCCTTTGTCTCCCCACTGATGATGTTTTACACACAACACCAGGTACTCATTTGAGGCTAAGTCGACCTAGGGGAGACCAAGGACCGGTTCAAATAACCGTCACTGCCGATGGCCGTGAGCGGGGATCGAACCCGGGTCCCCGGAATTCGTAGCGCTCCCCCACATACCCAGGCACACGTACACAGACGGACAGACACACTCACACGGACGACCCTTTAATTTGGCGCAATCAATTTCACGGTGCGCACGCTGCACCGCAGCTCGCATCTGCCGTCTCCAAAAAAAGACGCCGGCTCGGGTGCGGTGGTGGGGGTGGTGGTGTTGGTGGTGGTGGGAATCTCTCGATCCGCCAGCATGAAAAGGACGAACATTACAATCGCACGCGTGGAGACCCGTGCGAGAAATGGGGAGGACGGACTTGTTGTTTTTGTGTGTGTGTGTCGAGTTTATCTTCGCCGGGGCTCACGGAGCAGTCGCTTCCATTCGTGCGTGCGGGACTGGGCCATCTTTGTGCGTATTGTACACTTAATGAGCGCTCACGAACAAATAAACAAAAAAGAAGAAACGGCCGCGCAGATTTGCAAACAATTCATTGGCCCCGCTACCGTGCCTTGCGCCGCTGGAGGCAGATTGATCATTCGATTGATCATTCGCCGATTATGCGGCGACGAGGGTGCCGTTTGGACACTCGTGTAATGTGAAGCGTGGAGAGGGATAATGGGATTTACGGACGCTCTTGTTGGTGGGCGAGCGTGTGCCCGGGCTCCCTTTCACGACACTTGCGACTGCTGCGACGACACAGACGGGCGGACCAGTGGTCATCCCCAAATTGTCCGTGGCCATCCCGTGCACGCGTCTCCGGCAAGCGAGAGAACCCGGGGCTTGTTTGGAGGCAGATGCTGCGACAATAAAAAAAAACGTGCGCTTTAAAACCCTTCCGCCCACATGTACATCGTAATGAATATTAAATGTGGAAAATTCGGGCAAATTATATACCCCACTCTTGAATGCTGCGCCCACGTTTTATAGAAGTCGTGTTGTGCAGTCCTAAGGGGAAGGGCTCGTCCCATAACACGGCTGTGCATGGGGCCTCCACCATAAGCGCAAGCGACTGGTGTTAAAGTCTTTAAAACGGAAAAGTCGACACGCAGCTACAATGGGTTTTTTCGTGCGCGCCCAAATATTACAGAGCAGTAATTTATTACGTGAGCAACACCTGCAGATATTGCAGATTAAAACATGTTAGCTCATGGGAGCTTGGTGAAGGTGTGTTTCAGATAAATCTCGTCACTGAGATTATCCTGGTCCAGGTATCAAACTCGTGTGACCTGGTTCATGGTGTGGTCACGAAAACCACTGCGCTTCCGTTCGACCAGGGCTGGATTAAGGCACCGGGGGGCTTTAAGGGCTGCAAGCCCAGTGGCCTCCGCCAGCTGGAGCGCCTCCAGAGATTGTGAAAAGTTATTTCATTTGTGAATGGTGAATTTTATTTGTTGTTACCCTTGTAAAAAATACTTTTTGTTGAACTTTGTTTTCCTTTTGAAAATATTATTGGGGGCCTCATAGTACCTGTAGCCCAGGGGACCTATACAATCATAATCCGGCCCTGCGTTCGACCAAAATCAATAACAAAAAACTCGATTCTCAATTTCATATAAAGTTCTTCGAGCCTTCAATGAGGTTACACGCTTTCTGAATAAAGTCTCCACTCTACTTTTCTTGGTACTGTCAAAGGAGTTCTAATGATGTAGATGCTTACCCCGAGCCCTCATTACTTTGCTAGTGCATTGTCTTTGAGCTGTACGCCTTTTGGCGTCCTCTGGTCTAGCACCAATTGAGACGAGGCTCAAAAGAAAGCTGTCTCTGGGGTGGACCAATCATTTTCAAGGACAATGCATATATTACGTGTGTTTTTATTTGCATTTTCACCACAAGTATTGGGGTTAACGCACACATGGTTCCTTGTAAAAGGTTTCAGTTTTGTTGCCAGAAAAAAAGGGGAAAACCCATATTATTCTACTTTTCTTCTTTCGTACGGCTGACGTAGAATCAGGGCAACAACTTCAAATTCACATTCAGGTGGTCAAACCAGACAACCGCGTCAGGAATCAGCGGAGTGTATCGCTTTAATATCTCTTTCGTATGTGTGGATCGGGCATTGCGTCGTTATATGTTGCGCGGTCTGTTCTGGATGACCATACTCGGACACTGGAGAGGTTTTTAATGTTATATTTGTGCATCAGGTATCCGCATCTGCCATGGTGTGTGCGAATGCGATTTAGGGTGGACCATGAGCTTCGTGAAGGATCAAACCCAGTGATCTTCTACGTTGGGTCTTTCACAAGTTGTTTGTGAGTTCTTTTGAACTCCATTCAGCTCTCAGTAGCGTGATATAATCGCTTTAACAGAAAGGGGGCGCGCTCTGGTCGCTATTTGATCCGTGTTTACCAAACAACAAAAGCAAATTCGTCAATAACAATGCCTTAAAATAAAAAAATTCGCGACGTATCGGGCAATGACCCTTCTGTGCTATGAAGGGCCATCGACCGAAACGTCGTCCATTATATGTTGAGTGTTTTTTTTGTTCATTATGCGTGTGCAGCACGGCCAACACAGCATCGCCAAGTAACGTGTTTGCCTGTTAGGAAGCCGGCATTTAGCAGCTGCGAGAGAGCAGAGTTTCACAAACTCCAATCGTCGCGACCATCCACAACGCTACGATGTCTTTCCGCCTTTACCAATTTACTCCGATTCAAATAAAGATTAAGTCCTTCCACGCTGCACGCGCCCGATTGTTAAACACGTTTCACGTGGAGCGCTAAGCAATTAACTCGGCGTTACTGGGGAGCCAAATCAAATAAAAATTGAGATCTCAGTTTGCGTGCGTGTGTGTACACGTGTTCCACGTGATGCAAACAGCATTAATGACTAAGCGCGTCACGTGGGACGTGTTTAACAATCATCGGGCTCGTGCAGCGTGCACGTGCTGCATTTGTTATTTGAATGGGAGTAAATTGGTAAACGGGCAAAGCCTCGTGGTGGGTCGCGAGGACTGGAGTTTAGGACACCCTGTTCTTGTTTCTTATGTACCATTCGCTATATTACTATGCATGGTAAATTTAGGGTTCTTATTTCAGATTCCTTACCAGGTATTCTATACCCCGTTTGTTTTTCAGATGTTCCACCTCTGCAGATGTATGGGTCTCAAACGTTTCTCGTCGTAATCAGCAGCTGGATGAGGGCCTCCCATCCTCAAGCTGTCACTATCCATCACGATCCTGCCACGTGAGAGAGCCACCCCAAGCCAGCACCTGCAGCAGCACCGACGAGCTGATTGACTCACAGTTTGCTGGCGTGTGTAATCAACAACATTCCATTGCACTGCCCACCTGAAACATTGTGCTTTTGAAAAAAATAAAGCACGTGTTTATTTGTGATTGTAAAATTCGTTCTCCATCAAGCGCGTGGAATTTTGTGATTGATTTACATACGTTGTGCCAACGTTGATTGACGTTGGCCCCAATGTTGGGCCCTATGTTGCGTGTTTGCTGGAATAGAACTGGCACGTTTCATTGCAGGCTGGGGCAAACGGGTTCTTCTTCTCCGCCTCTGAGTCAGTTGGGGGTAAATCCCCTGAGATAAGCGGCTGCAAAGCGGACTTTAATCACCGGTGCCGTGACATTACTCACACGTGCAGAACTCGGATTTTTAATTAACGCCCAAGGTAATTCAGCAAACACATTTTTTTAGAGGCGTAAAACAAACAAAAAAATCATGCAAGCGCAAGCAATGGGATATTGATAATTTCATCCAATTAACTTAATCAAAACCAATAAACGTAATGCATATTCAGGTGTTAATATTCGAGTTGGGTACGGCCATTATCGTATTGTTTGTGTGTTTGAGTCAATAAAGTCACCTCGCTCCATGTGAGGTGTAAAGATGCATCGATTAATATCAATCCACAATACTCGCGATACATAATTCCAATCGTGCGTATAAGAATGAACACCACTGTATTTATTACACACAGCACTCTACTATAAAAAAAACACAATATTCGCCAAGTCCTAAATTTAATCTCGAGTAGCAAGACGGTAAGAACGTGATGCAAAACATCAAATTCGTCTCTTGTGTGCAAGTGGCTGGGTGGATTTAATCGTTGCATCGTGGCATGGTGAGAGATATGCGACAGCTTTGGATGGAGGTGCGGGGTTCTAAGCTCCATCCAGCAGTCGTAGTAGATTGACCACGGTTGCTGATGATGTCGAATCGAATCGCTACCTTGAATCTCTGATTTTTTTAATTCATCGAATCGCCGTGGGAGGTTGGGATGGGAGGACGCTGATCGCCGCATAAGTTATGCATGGGGCGCGTCACAGCGCCGCACGTAAGACGCGCCCCCCGGCACACACGCACGGCACTCTGCACCACCATCCGGTGGCATCAGCCACGGATCTCATCCTCCTCGCCAGCATCACCACCACCACCAGCAACATCACCACCATCATCAACAACAACAACATCAGCTTCTTTCAGTCTTCCTGCAAGCTTCCACTCGGCTACTACCACCAACAACCTTTGCTGGTGTTGCTTCTACTACCGGTCGGATAACCCACCACCCCCTCCATCATCACCCGTGTGGAGGCAGACGGACAGGGGTTGGTGGCAGAGAGAGGGGACCCCCCCCCACCCCCAACGCGCATGCTGCAGAGAGGGAGAGACGAGGAGTAGAGACCGACGCGTCGGGACCGCAGCAGCATCAGCAGCATGGGTGCCCTGCTCCCTGCAGGGATCTTCCTTCTCCTGCTACTCGCTCAGTTGTGCCGGGTTCGTGCCGAATGAAACGTGTATTGTATAGTATAGCTACACACACACACGTCTCGTTAGACACCTCGCTCACCACCACGCTTGTATTGTATAGTAGAGCTACACACACACACGTCTCGTTAGACACCTCGCTCACCACCACGCTTGTATTGTATAGTATAGCTACACACACACACGTCTCGTTAGACACCTCGCTCACCACCACGCTTGTATTGTATAGTATAGCTACACACACACACGTCGACTTGGCTGTATTGCGCGCACATGTTTCTTTGCCACCGACTTTTCTATTTCGGATTTGAATAGCGCCCACTCGCTTAGTGGGAAGCACCCACCGATGGCTTAAGACGTGGCTTTTGTTGTTATTGTTGTTTTGGTAAATACACATTTTAAAAAATAACATCGGAGACCTTGTGGAGCATTCGCAACACGAGTCGCTAACGAAGCGTGGTGCGCACGAGTTGCCTAGCTGCCGATGGGTGCGAGGCGTGTGGTGGTGGCCTTGGTTTTTTATATTTACGCGGGGTTATGGGGATAGTTGTGTGTGTGTGTGTCGAGTGTAATGATGCTTGTGCGAGTTTTTTTGCGAGTGCACATTGCACGCGTGTCGAACGCATTATAAGTTGCCAATAAAAAAACACGCGACCTTGTTTTGTAGGGGAAAATGGCGTTAAGTTTTTAAAAACAAATTTTTTAAAAACAAAGTTTTCAAAGTAACGATAACAACAGGTACAGATGTTGTTCTGTCCATCATGCGAATCAAGTTCTTCCCCTCCCCACACCACCAATAGTAGTTGAACCGTTTTAATAGCCACGCGAATTTTGGTTGCAAAGGGGCAGTAAGTAGCGTAGCGTGGTGGCGATCGAACATTTACTCCGTGCTCCCCGTTACTGTACACCGACACGTGTGTTGTTACAGTGAGACACGTGCGTGTGTAGGTATACACGTGTGTGTGTGTGCTGTGACTGTCGCTGCAGTGATGGGACACACTGTCGTAACACACGTGTGTAAGTGGTGCTTTTCCACCCCTACACGGCGATATTTCATTATACACGTGCGCCTTTCTCCCATCTAAAAAAAAAGTTGGTGGTGGTGGCTGCGTCTTATAATCCGGTGCGAGAAAAGATTTGTGGTGGATTTTTTGATTGATATCGCGGGCACAGGCGTGGTGGCAGCGTTTGCGCCTTACTTTCAGACTCATCTTTGTGTAATCCAGAGTACGGGTAGATGCATATGAGATGTGCATAGTCCATGTGTCAATCTACTGCTGGATGAGAGCCTCGTCCCCCCCCTCTCCCCAATCCGTGCGGGTCTCCGAGGGTTGACTTGTTTATAATCTAACCCACACCGATTCCATCCATCTCGGCCCTCTCACCACCAACGCTCCTACCTCCTACCCCAGTGGTTCCCGAATCCAGGTTGCTAAAGTCACTCGAGACCCCATGTCACACGACGCCTACCTTTAAAAGTCGACAGTGTTTTTAATGAAATAGGTTTCCCCCTTTTTCTGGCAATGAAACAGGTGTTGAGATGTTAAAACGCCAAACTTTAACCTTTTACAAGGAATCATGTCTGCATTAACCTACAATACTTGTGGTCAAAATGCAAACAAAAACATACTTTAATATATGCATTGTCTATGAAACTGATTGGTCCACACCAGAGACGGCTTTCTTTAGTCTCAAAACGGTGTTAGACCAGAGAATACAATGTATATATTAGATTATCTTTTTGTTTGCATTCTGACCACAAGCATTGTAGTTCATGCAGACATTCCTTGTAAGAGGTTTCAGTTTGGTGTTTTAACATGTTTTGTTGCCAGAAAAAAGGGGAAAACCTATGCTTATATTTTGGTACTGGCAAAGGAGGTCCCATGATGTAAGTGTTTTTTAATAAGGCATTTTGGTTTCGTGCTGCGCGCACAAGTATTGTAGATGGTTTTCTTTTTTGTCGCCGCAATGTGGGGTGGGTGGCATTTCCCCGCGCCCACACGGAGCAATTCCTCCTGAACAGATACCCACGCCGCGCAGCCTGCGGACGGGAACCCCCAGGGCCGATCTTCTGAAGTCTCCTATCCCACGGGTCGAGAAACCGCAGCAGTGCCTTGAGTGGGGCAACAACTCTGCCTAAAAAATAATATTCGTAAAAAATGTTTTTTTAAAGGAGATTATGATGTGTGTGTACTATTTGGCAATGGCTGGGGGGGGGGGGGTGGCTTCACCCAACAGCAATAGATTGATCGTGGCTGTGTGAATGAAAGTCTCCCATCATTGTCTCTTTCCTCCAGCTCTGTACAACCTTACTCAATTCAAGAAACGACTCGTCTCCTCATCACAACTCCGATGATGCTGTTTTGCTGCTGGTCGCTTGACCCTTTAGGGGCACCTCTGCTCGGCGACCGTGTAAATAAACCCAGATTGACACTTGCTCAAACTTTCTGCCTTCCCTATGCCACTCTCCACCCCAGGTGTGCCGTGCCTCCGGCTACTTCGAGCTGCAGGTGACCTCCGTGCAAAACGCGCAAGGCGAGACGGCGCGCGGCACGTGCTGCGACGGCGAGAGGTCCCCCGATGGCCGCTGTGACCGGGACGAGTGTGACACTTACGCCCGCGTGTGCCTCAAGGAGTATAAGACGCGCGCCTCGGGGGACGGGCCCTGCACCTTCGGCTCGGGCTCCAGCCGCGTCCTCGGTGGAAACTCTTTCCGCCTGACCCCGCAGCAATATGGGACCACTGGCCGCATTACCGTGCCCTTCCACTTCGCATGGCCGGTGAGTGGCTGGGGGTCAGTTGCTGCGGTTGTTGCTGCTGTTGTTCAGTTGGGTATTGTAGTATCCCAATGCACAGGCTTGTGATCCCTGGTGTAACCGTACTGGAGTTCTAAGGTCTTGGAAGATCCTTTGGTCTCGGAATCTGGGTGTACCAATGTCTTGGGGGTTGCAAGGTCTTTAAGTCTCCTTGGGCACCTAGGGTCCAGATCTCGCACTTGGTCTCGTGGTCACATGTTTTGAGGTTCTTGGGGTGGGGGGGGACGACGACGACTTATGTGTATGGAAGCTACAGTTCACCGCGTGTCCATCTTTCCAGTGCCCCTTTTTTTCTTGAATTAATTGACCGACATGGAGAATTACTGCAAGTAGTGTATAATGCATTTAGTGGAGCTTGGCCTGGGTGTGGATGGAACCCTGGGCTAATTGGGTGTGGAGTGATGCACAAGATTAACTGTTGATTAAGCAGGATCTGTATTTGTACAGTTTTCATATTGTAGGGGAGTACGTCTGTGTACTGTGCATTGTATGGGTGTTGTACTTTTGCACCGTACGTAGCCAACCGTTGCTAATCGTAGTTGCGGTTGAAGGACGACAAACTAAATGCAAAACACATTCTAAAGAAATGAGTTTTCAATCTAGATTTAGAAGTGCATAGCTCCTGTCATGTACTGCGTGTTTTATAGACAGCATTTATTGTATGTGTAATTATACCGTGCGGGCGTGGACGTGTCGTTAAGCATTCGTGTGTTACTGTAGTAATTTGCATTAGTATGAAGGTGTTGTGTAGCTGTTCCCAACATGGTCATGTCGACCCTGTGCCAGAGAATGGGCACCCCATTCGTGGGGTCACCGTGACGCTCTGACCCACAGTGTCTCCTTGGCCCCAGTGCCCCCACCGTCTGTCAACCCAAACCCTCCTCGTCGCTCTCCTTTGAGCTTGGCAAGGTGGTGGCTTGGCTAGTGTCATTGTACATGCAAGGACTGTATTGATGTGGTGCTTAATCGTGCGCCAATTATACACTTAATCACGCTCCAATTACAGAGCATTGAGCACACTTGCGAAACAATTACACCAATGAGCGCAGTGAGTTTGAGCCGGTTGCGCAAAGCGTGGAGCAGTGAGGCACCTCCCAGTGCCCGTTCTGAATGGCAAATGTGAAACCCTGCGAAAAGGCTAGAGGCGGGGTGAGTGGAGTATATAATGGACATGGATGGCGGAACCATTGAATAAGCCCTTCTAATTCCCTACGTGAATGGGCAGCTCATTCTCGTGTCCCCCGTCCAGGGATGGAGTGAGGTGAAGTCTGTCCCCCGTGTCCCTTAATGAGTTTGTGCATATGATGAGAATCTGTGTGATTTGGTGGTGGTCATACCCACTTCTATCCCTTGGCCAGCTTTGTTTAATTCCTGCTGTGCCCTGTTGTCTATTATGGTTGATGGCGAATTAAGACCAGTGTGACAATGTAAGCCATTGTGTGCGTGTGTGATTTCTTGTGCCAAGTCGCATATTTGAAGATTATTCTTGTTTACAGTTATGAAACAAAGTTTGGCTGGCTGACACGCAGGCTGGCAAGTGCATGGCGGTGATGTCACTGCGCACCTCTGCGTAATGACATCACCCGCATCCAGATTCGTGCGTGCTGACAATGCCACACGCAAATACGTGGGCAGTGGCAGTATATATATATATAAAACACAATCCCGTTTGTGTCGCATTAGGCATGGGTACATGGAATTGAGCGGCGAAGTTTACATGATCGTGTCGTAGTAAATTGAGACTTAAAATTTATAATCATTATTTTTATGCTGAGTCTGCTGTTGCTGTGTCCTGTACAGCGAGTTGAGATCTTTGATGAAAAACGCTATAAATGGAATTATTATGATTTCTAAGTCGGGGTAGAGCCCCTGGTGTTTGGGCCACCGTGTTTTGCCGCTTTCTGTCGCGCCTTGCCACTGTGGGCCGCACCTGCCCTGCGTCGGGGCGGGAACAGCTGTTTGCTTTGCTGTTCATGGGGATAAGCCAACGCCGTTTTTAAAGGTGGCCATTCAGCTTTGTGACCTCGGACCTAACATTTTTGCTCTTTCCGGCTTTTTGTGTTGGGTTTTAAATCTTTGGCTGGTCCAGGTGATTTTTGATGCTGGAGAGGAAGGGAATCTAGTTCCAGTGATTTGTGAAACGTTTAAGTGAGTGATGGAACTGAAGTTGATGGAAGTTAGAAAATAATTAGCACAACGAGGTGTCAATTCATCAATGGGGATATCTATCTTAAGGTCGGATTGTGTTATAACACATACGCACGTGTGTCATGCCTTTTACTTGTATGTTGGGGATTCGTGTTACCCATTTGCTACCGTCACCAGAATTTTGAAAACTCGTATTATCATTCGTCGAATAGTGGCCCTGACTGGCAACCAGTTGAGCCACCAAAGATGAGTCTGAACCCTAAGACACTTGTTTTGTGTAATACATTTTTACTTGCGGCCGGTGATTTTGAAGACCGATTGCGTGCTGAGGCGCGTGGTGGGGAATGTGGCTGCATGTGGTGATCCTCTTGTAGCTCTCCCAGCATGCAAGCTAATTAAAGATTGCTGCTCATGAAGGTGCAGATTACTCTCCCTTTACCTCCAGTTCACCTGCAACTTGGCTTGAGCAAAAGCTACGTAAGACTAATGGATGGCACCAAAATGCTTTAAAGTTGAATATGCCAGGTTTTTTTTTCAATGAAGATGCAGTGGTTGCTATTTGTAAACGGACTGAAAATGGAATTAAGATTATGACTTATTATGGGTGTTTTGAAAAATTATATGCAGGAACATTTTTGGGGAAATGTTTATTCTTGTGCATAAAAAACACCTGTAAATGCACCTGTTAGCGTATGCTTTGAAAAGCTTTTATTCTTAAGAGTACAAACTTTGGCTTTTGGCAATAAAGCAAAGCGTCTTAATGGCTGGCCTGTGACCAATTCCCTTTAATGCACCAAATTTTATTAGATCCTGGCAGCCAAGCCGGATTGAACCTTGATAGTATTTGAATGGGCGATCACCATGCAAAACTGGTTGTGATGGTCTATGGTGATATGTAATGGGCATCAAAAACCAATGAACTCCTATATTTAACCACCTTCTGACTTTCCCTCTTCCCCCCCCCCCCCTTGTGATCTGCATTGACGTGTGGTAAAGTAACCATTATGGACCCACACAGTATGGGGACATCCTCGTTCAGCAGTGGATTAACACTCCTGTGTTTTTCTGTAATGGTATGACCTGCCCCTATTGGACATCCTGTGAAAGAGCTTTATATCTCATCAGATTCATCCAGTATATAAATAAATATTCAGAAAATGTCTTAACTTGTAGGCCAGGCCTTGCACTGACTATAGGGTGGCGTTCCCTAGCATGTAGGGGACACTCAACAACATTCCGGTGAGCTCCCCTGGGTTAATTTTTTAAGGGATGGGGGGGGGAGACGGGTGGCATTGTTCCCTCTCTTTGCCTAGGTGCTGTAAATGTCTGCAGTCCCACACATCCAGCAACAGGTGTGCCCCCTGACACTTTGTTGCCAGCCTAATTTACTCGGGTATCTGCTGTTTGTTGATCTCCTTAATGATATCCTACAATTCAACGGCTTTGTGAAGGTGTGCACAGCGATGCCGTTTATGGCACAGTGCTACTTTATAGGATAGGTGTGAGACAATTTGCAGAGGTGTTTTACTTGCCACAGGGATGATAATGGCTTTCCTGTTCAGAAGAGCACTGGCTGGTGAAAAGACACATTGTTAAAAGGGATTTGGCGGAAAGGAAATGACACTGCAACATTTTATTTTGTTACATGCATGACTTTAGAATGAGGCCTGGCGGACCTTGCTGTGACCTCATTGTGCTGCTGTGACAAAGGGGGCCAGGCTTGAGGCCTAATCCATTCCCTTGAGCTCTTTATGATCTCTGCACAATGGGAACTGAAGGTGCATCGCCAAATTCCACCAAGCGAGACAGTTGGATTTTGAAATCAAAGTTTGACTTTGTGTTTGGCCCTGGGAACATGTGAACAGTGTCTAATGAGGGCATTGGTTGACATCTTGACTACATGTCTTGAGTGTCCTACATTTTACACACACATTCACATGTGCCCAGTGGGTTTAAAAAAAATAAGTTGATAATTGTTCATGCCTGTCACTTATAAATAGCAATGCCATACCATATCCTTGTAGACGCTTACAGATTCCAACCATTGCAGGTGGTGGTCCTTGCAAGGAACTGTTTAAATAAAGAAGCGGCTCGTTGAAGAGGTGTTTTTCCTGATAGCACCGCGGCGGTGGTGGTAGTGTTTGACGTGCCGTTGACAGTTTTTCGTAGCACCTCCCGACGGCTGGCCTGCTTGTGCAGGAATGTGGCCGTTGAAGAGTGGCAGTATGCTGATGGTTGTGCAGCTGATATGCATTTCTTTGCAATGGTTTGTCAAAATCTACACCCCCCCCCTTTCCATTGATTTTGAAGTTGGGGCATGCCCGGGCATGTGCGTCTGCCTTTTGTGTTAATTTTTTTATTTCGAATTTCTTCCCACAGTCATGCCACGCCCCTTGATGTTGATGAAAACCCAATGTTCACATTCTTTGACTCTCAAATTAATTTGGCCAGGAAAATGAGCGAGTCTGCATTTAGTGGGTGAAAGATTCGACGTGAATTTGTGCTTAATTTATGCATATTGCAGAAGTACTCGCACGGGGAGTGCCAGTGCATTTATAACTCTCTTTTTGCGATTTTTCAAGGAATAACACGTGATTGCATGAAGAAACAACATACACATATGCTCAATCGTGAAGGCTGGTTCCCCTGCAACACACGAGAATGAGATTTTTAATTGGATTCGAGAGGTGCAGACAAAAATGGTGACGGATTAACCAACTTGGATTTGATGACTATGTAGTCATTATAATAGCAGATTGTAATGAATTACAGGAAATGATGAAATAACTTGAGAAATGTCTGCAAAGTGGGGCTAAAGATACACATGAGCAACACTACTATTGTACAATAGTTTTCGCTGCAAAGAAATTTGTTAGAGGGGCACAACTATAGAACACAAGTATCTTCAGGCGCGGTCAGTACAATGCTGGATGAAGGCCTCCCCAGTCTGCTACCATCTCTTGTGATCCTCGGATTTTATATAATGATCCATCCTAGGACCTGTGTGCACGAGCTGATTTCAAGGATGGCAGATGGACATGATCGACAAGACTGGTAATGGAATGGCAGCCAAAAAGAACACTCCCCTTGGTACTGCGACCGCAAAGCTGGAGCAACAAGATTCGCTTCTGCGTGAGCAATTACATGAATTGACATTGCAGGACCATGGGGGATATTAATGGTTATGGGTATAACTTCATTTTAGCAATGTATAGAACGTGGGTGGTGGTGACAATTGCTTTGTAAAACACATCATTTAATTGCACTGAGATTGTTGCTATTGCACAAATTATTTTTTATTTAAAACATGTTCATATTCGAAATGGCGTCTGCTCACTTGGGTTAAAAAAAAAAAACTTGGTTGTATGATTGGACGTAATAACGTCTTGCTCTTGACCAGGTTCTATTTGTGGCTTTGAAGATTGATTGGATTGCTGAAGTTCTTGGCACACTTCCTACTGCACGGCCTGCTAAAGTTTGTTAGATTGGTGCCCTGCGAAGCCAATTTAATAGATTTGCTGGATTCCTCTGGCAGACAGGCTCTACAGCTGTTGCTAACATAAACAGAGGCCCCTCGTTTCGAGTTGACAAATGAGGCTCCTCGTTGCCCAGCGTGCCCTTGCACCATGGGGGTGAAGATGGAGGAGCAGTGGGGGGTGGGGGAATATGCTACACCTTAGACTGACCGCTAAACTCTAACCCCCTTGTGTGTTTTGGCCACATCTGTCCCGTCTCGAGATTAAGTTTATCGGGGGGGGGGGGGGGGTGGGGGGAGCAGGGTGTGAGGTCAACTGGCGTGATTTCCTGGCAGGGCGTCTGCGCCTGGTGGAGGCTCGGCTGGAGGTGGTGCCGTGCCGGCTGCAGAAGGGGGCAGACCTGTTGTGGCTTGCCCGAACAGGCACGCGGGCACGGCTCTGGCATGGGAGCGTGGGAAAAAGTAAACCTCATTGGGCATGATTTACAACTCCATTTATGATTTCCTACGTTGCAATAAAGCACAGCTGTTCATATTTTTTTTCGTAATTTTCTTTGCACTTTATTTGTACACGGAAATGCATTGTGAATGTGACCTTTGATAGTCCTTTATTCAGCAACTGATGGATGAAGCCCTTTGCCCTGCCATGGAGGGGGGTTAGGGAGTCGTTTGACCATGCTTCACGATGCTGATTAGTGTGACTTGGTGAAGGGGGGGGGGTACAACCTGTGAAACAAAAACTGTCACTGAAGTTAAATATAGCTGGGAATCGCCGTGCGCAAACTGCTGAGCCACAGGTCCAATCACATACACAAAATCCATATTGTACTTTTTCTTCAAGTTTTCTGGCTGGATTACCTGGGTCGATTGTCCGGCTGGGTGCTGTGCTCCCAAGCACCTGTACTCGGTGGTGATGTTACCGGTATCCCACGGCGTTACTACTGCTCGTTCAACATCCCATCACTCGTGCGGTAGGATGAGTCCCTTCATCCAGCAGTCGGATTGACACGTTGTTGTAAATGGTTATTTTACTGTTTGAAAAAACTAAGTTTCTCGCAAGTATTGGGGATGGACGCTCACATCCAAAGGTTGTGTGTGGGCTGCTAGTTCGTATAACAATTAAATAAATTTCAGCCCCTTGGCAATCTATTGGACAAAAAACCTCCCTATGTGAGTTATGGGGTGAGATGGTTGATCATACTTCACCATGCTGTTTAGTGCAGGTTGGTCAAGAGGTGACCCCCTGGACCAGTTGACATCTCGTTTGCCCATGGCCTGCAATCAAACTCGGGTCACTGGGTTCAAAGCAGATGTGCTAACCCCTGCTGTATTCTACTAACACCTAAAAAGATTTGGATAAATATATTCCATCTAGTTGCGCAGTAGTCGGCTGTTGAATTATGTATCGTATAACGAAAGTGGCAGTTTGTATTACGTTTAGGGGCGCCTTGTGTTTAACTTTCAATCTGTTTAATGCATTGTGTAAGCACAGTGTCTGCAAATTAAAAGATTAAAAACTGTGTGCCAGCATTGGCGGTGATGTGCGGACGGTGCTGCGCCCATTTTGGCCTGGCAGACTGGCACCGTCATCAACCCAGTCCGTGATCCGTGTCTGATCCCCTGTGTGTCTGAATTCGGCCATCCTCTAAATCCACGGAAAGCTTGGCCATGTGCTTTGTGACTGCCAACAAACACCCTCGGGCTTGGCCCTCCACTGCGCCGCTCTTTACTGCTGGGAAAGAATTTCCCGGGGTCAGTGGTGGCGGCAGGTCTTGTGCATTCTTGCCACTTCCTGGGGAAGGTTCATTATTTTACTTGTCTTTCAGGTTTGTTTTTCATTTACCTGCAGTAAACACGTGACATTTGGCCACCCTCGGGGCTTGCAAGCTATAAAGGCACTTGCCGAAAAATATTAGTTGTACCCTCTGCCAAAGTGGAAGGCATTCCACACTTGACAGTTTTTCAACAATGGTTTATTTAAGTGTATTAATTTTTGAAATGGAGCCTCCTCGGCCGTTTTGGGGGAGGATGACCACTGTCTGGCAGTGCGACTTGGTGTGCTTTTTAGCGAGTGTAGATTATCTTTCCCGACGTGAAACACAAAGCTAGCCGGGGAGATTGCCCAATTTAACGAGGCTTGTTTTGATGAACTTGCAGTTGTGTTGAGAGACGTGATGGAACAGAAGGGTGGTCTGCTCGCAGGTAGCGTCTGCTGAGCCCTCCTGAGGTCGCAGCGCTAAAAAGGGAGATAGTGGTGTGAGGTTTCCGAGCACTGCCGCTGTCACCGGATACCTGTGGGAGAGGGAGTTTGTGCTCAAGCTGGGGTTCAGAGAGGGTTGAGGGGCTTGGGGCCCTATGTAGCTGAGATGCTGGTAAAATACATTTGTGTGTCTTGATTTTGGATTTTAAAGGAGTGCACTGTGAACATTAATTATGCTGGTTATATGGCAAGAGTCCAATGTTTATATTCTTTGGGTCTTTCGATAAAGTCGTGTAGATAGGTTCAAAGAAAATAACGATCGCAACACAAGCGTTCATCTTCCTGATCACGCACGCTTGTGTTGCAATAGAAACGTCGTAGTTTTGTTGTTTTTCGATATTTTCTTTGAACCTATCTACGTGACTTTACAGAAACACCCAAATATGAATTCCTAAAGTCGCAAATCTTTTGTCAAGATTTAATCCAATGTTTATTTGGTCGGATGTCTAGGATTCACTAATGTTTAAAGAGAACCTTTTAAAATACTTATAACTTAAAATCTTATACGAACGTATAGGCATGGAACAAGTCTTGTTCTGGGCATTTAACAAATGGTCATTTGGTTATTTGATTAAAGATTGTATTATCTGCTTTCTGCCTTAAAGTTTTGCTCGCTTTATTGTCCTTAAACCTAACAGTGTAATGAATATAATTTACAAACGGGTACCAATAATTCTGACACTGGTGATTCGATGCAATAATCTATTTGAATCTGATGCATAGTGATATCTCGTATTAACACTGCTTCAGGTTATAAACGCAAAGAATAGTTAGAACAGTGTGCACAAAACGAAAGTAATGTTTGCCGATCGCAATTGATTTGTTTTTTTTAGTTTGACATTTAACGCGCTCGCTGTTCTCTCCGAGGGAAACGTATAAAACGATGCCAGGAACCAGCTCGACGAGGGCACGGCAAGAAGCGGCCGATTTTCAAAGAGAACACGGGAAGCCGGGCACCGCAGGGGAAAAGGGGTGGGGGACGGGGGTAGGACGCGGGGGGGGGGATTCTTGCTGCCAAATTCCCCATCGTGTGATGGCTGTCCGAGGAAGGAATTGTGTCTGGAGTTTGATTTGGGGGGGGGGGGGCCTGTAGGTCTGAATTTCTTTGCACCTGCATGTACACTCCCAGGGTGGCACATGTCTGCTACCACCCGCCGCCACTGCCTTCTCCCTGGTTTAAAAAATGCACTGCCATTCATCAAAGGGCCGCGCCTATCGGATCGTCGATCTCGGAGCACTGCAACCTAAATGAAGAGAAATCATGTTTTATTAATGTTTCCTTTTTGGCCCTAAATTTTCCTTCTCTGGGCATCGATGTAGCACCATTTAATTTCATTTATAAATGTTTTTGTAATATTGGTTGTGAGCTTTGGTAGGTTGTGCGTCTGGGGAAGCCTCGTGTCAACTTTTGTGATATGGTATTTAAATCTATTTACCTCTCAGTGTCGATCATCCCATGTTCTTATGCCTCCTGTCAGCTACATCTTTTTTTTTAGTCCCTTTTGAAAGTGCCGCCGTCATAATGTACCTTATGCAAGTTTGGTTACGTTTCGATTTTCAAATTGCTAATGGTAACCAAAATTTGCCCCCCCCTTGCAGAGATCGTACACGCTAATTTTGGAGGCGTGGGATCAGGACAACACCACTGCTGGAGGTAAGTGTCCTTGCGGTAGTATACACGTGTATAAAGGTGGTGCTCGTGTTTTCTACCAAGTGACTTGTTTCCCCCATTGCTTGGACTTTACAATGTATTTTATTTGCTAATGCGTTGCCAATAAGCCTGAGACAATTGAACGTGTGGTTGCTGAAAAAAAGCGTTTGTGAGAATAATGAAAGTTGAATTGTTTTGTATTAATAACATTTAATTTAGGGCAAAAATGTTGTGGAATGTACAACTTTTATTTAAATTTAAAGTATATTAACTATTTGAGACAACCAATCAAAAAGTCATTACAAATTAAAATGGTTCTGTTGGACAGTGTATTTGAAATTGCCAAGTAATGGTGCATGATAAGTCATATACTCATAATAATAATAATGCTGACTCGCCCACGCCTGAGTCTAGTGTGCTGTGGTGTCTGGCATTGCATGAGGGTGCATGTTTTACGAGGCATGCCGATTCTGGTTCTGTGAGAATTACCCATGATGAAGTCACCAGACTTGTTCCTGGGTATTTGAGCACGGTCGTACAAAGTTTGCCAAATATGCTTTTAAAAATGTTTAGATTTTTTTGTGGAATACAACAAGCACGCAATTGGTTCCAGATAAAAAAAAAATTGGCAGTCTGAAAATTGGCATTCTGCGACCTAAAATTGGCGTGAGCAGTCTGATTTTCATAACGCTTTAAACGACTCGCCAAATTGCCATGCCGAGCGTCGTGTGTTTGTAATCACGTTTGTTCAACACGCACCATGTCGGTGTGTTAGACCGAATCTTGTTGCTCTTGGTTCTGCGGTGGGTTCATGTTGTAAGGTGGACCACTGTTGAGTTTTCCCCTTGTACCTGGGTGCTGAATGGGAACAAGTGGCCACTTGGAAGAGGAATGTGCGTGTGGTGTGCACAGGAGCTACAAGGGGCTTCCCGGGGAATTTATATGCTTCTCTGTAACTTTGTCCAGATTTGGACTTTGTACCAAGTAGGCATAGATCACCTGACTAGTCGGCTGCAAAGGATACCATGCATCCGTGTCCCACCTAACGTGCCTATGTTGTGATTTAGATGCACCCTGTCTTTGTTAAACATAATGAAAGCCGAGGGTGACTCACGGAGCTGTATAGCTTTCCTGTTGCCGGAAGAATAAGGGGGATGGGAACCAATGGTGCTCAAGTTTGGAGTCTCCTTGCTTTAAAAAGGCCGATTACTTCTCAAGGGCGCTGATAGAGGGGCTATGTTGTGGTCTGATGCGTCAAGGTCTGTCGCAGTGCTCCGACTCTGGCATTGTTTTGTAATCGCAATAGATGTGCTTGGTAGCAGTAGAAACTTTAATCCAGAAAAGGAGTGCGCCCTTGCACTTTGGAAAAGGTTTCAATAATGTAAATTTTTGGTCACTTATATTAGTAAATATTGATATTGCAGGTAGGCTTGCCGTGTACCCATATTTGCGCGCACACACACGTCCGCACCATATTGCCGTTTGAATTTTCCCTCCCTGGTAACCCCGAGATCTGTCATGCTGCCTGGGAGTGGCTGTGGCGCTTGGCACGCAAGGAAGGCTCCCGTCCCCCAATGCCACACTAGCATTTAGAATATCGTGCCATTGGCATTTCTGCACGGTTTCAAAATAGGCAAAAGTATTATAGGTTGGGAAATAACCACGTTACGAATGGAATGTGCAAATTATTTCAAAGTGTTTCGAATGATCTTCTTGGTTCTTTCGGTAAAGTCACATAGAAGGAAAATAATAAAATAATAAAAATAAAACATAATAAAATAATTCTCATGATGTTTCGGCCACAACGCAAGCAGCCGTCTTCAGGTGGAGAACAGGTCTGCCTTCTCGACAGACCTGTTCTCCACCTGAAGACGGCTGCTTGCGTTGTGGCTGAAACGTCGAGAATTATTTATTATGTTTTATTTTTATTATTTTATTATTTTCCTTCTCCGTGACTTTACCGAAAGAACCAAGAAGATGAATCCTTGCAGTCACGAAAGCTTTAAATCGGAATGTTTCGAATTATTTTTCAGCAGAAATTTGATTTGCCAAAATTAATTGACTGCAGAATTTTTTTTTCTTTCTGTTTACTGCTGTGGAAATAGTTTGGCCCATAGGTTGCCTTTCCCGTTCAAATGTCATAAAGATTATTTTTTTCTTTGGTTCCTGATGCAGTGGTTGTCCATTGAGACAAGGGCCCCCTACCCTTGGAAGGTGGTATTTTGACCGAGATGTGCAGCGAGCGTGGACCCGTGCTAGCTTGAGCAGGAGTGTGATGTGGTCTGGCAGGAGGGGGAAGGTGGGAGTTGGAGTCGCTTGAATAACTTTTAAAAACTGTTTTACTCTACTACGTATCCAATAGTTTGACCGTGTACGTGCCTTCCTCGCATCATGTCTCCTAGGTTCGGGCGACCTGGTGGAGCGGGCTTTCAACCTCGGCATGATCAACCCCGGTGACACGTGGCAATTGCTGCAACACCACGGCATGGTGGCCAGCCTGGAGTACCGGGTGCGTGTGCGCTGCGACGAGCACTACTACGGGACCAGCTGCAACCGCCTGTGCCGCCCGCGGAACGACTTCTTTGGGCACAACACGTGCGACGGGCATGGAAACAAGGCCTGCATGGAGGGCTGGATGGGCCCCGATTGCAACCAAGGTGTGCGAGTGTGCGGGGTGGGGGGGGGTAACCTGGGAGAAGCTTGGTGGATGTTGCTGAGGCAAGCGCTTTAATGAGACTGGTAAAGAGAGAACGCATTTGCTTGCCATGTGCCATACTTCACACCTTGGGCAATCTCGTAGTAATCTCTAATTGTAATGGATCTTAATCCTGTGCTATTGGCAAACGCATTGGAAGATCTCATCAGTCATGTGGTGATGGTGAGTGCATTAATAATGCCTGAATAAAAGCATGTTTTGGAATGATTGAAAGTGTCAAATGTTGTCAATTTAAAGTGCTCTCTTCTTTTTCAGCAATTTGTAAGCAAGGCTGCGACTTGATTCATGGATTTTGCAATGTTCCTGGAGAATGCAAGTAAGAAAACAATCTCAAAACAAAACAACACGGCAATCCCAGGAAGGCTAGCAATCTTACTTTACAACCATGGAAGTAGCTCGCTTGGTACGGTGTCATTTGAATAATGAATAATGGGACATCCCTTTAATAGAAATTGACACTACGTCACTGAGTAAGGGGGCAGAGAGGAATTCTAAAAGGGCCTGTTTGGCTTAAACGCTGGGCTTTTGGTACTGCATGAGGAGCGGTTTGAACAGAGCGTGGATTGTTTGAGCAGTCTTGCCTGACTAGGCTCAGCTGTCCTTGGGCCTTGTTGAAGGGGCGTTTCACAGGGGGGGGCGCCTTTGTGCAGTGGATTGTTGTGGCCAGGCCAAAGCCTCTCTTGACTGGCAGCTGTATTGACGGTGGACACGGGAGGGTGGGAGGGCTCGCTGCTGCGGTGCAGGAAGGGCCATGCTCTCGCGAGGAACCAACCCAGGGTCTGCAGCAGCACCGGGAGGGGTTGCCACAGCTTCCAGAAATAATATTTGTTTCTACATCGGTAGTGGGAAGTGCTGCCCCAAAGCCACCACGTATTTCATGTGCAGACAGTGTCGGAGGGGGGGGGGGAGTGGGTCGCAGGTACAATCATATATTTTTAAGTAAAATGTGTCTCTTAACCTGTCATTGTTAAGAACCACTAAAGATAATCTTGTTGTTTTTGTAAGAACATGGAATTTCATAGGTTAAGGGACGTGCAATAAATAAATAGCACTAGTCGGACATCGTTCTGAAAATATTTATTTTACGCTGCCCCGCATATTTTCCGCATTGATCGGAGGGTAGCAGGAAGAAGGGGGGTGGTGGCGCCTCCCATTACTGGCGGAGACGGCAGCTTGTCGACCCAGCAGCTTGTGCCGTGTGATCTGCTCGGCACCCCAGACTTGTTAACGATTCACTGGGATGAGCAAGATGTATCATTTATCCGAATGTAATGGCCCGAGGCTGTGCTCACCGGAGCATTAACCTTGGTAATGCTGGTCTCTCTTGCGTGGCTATTGCTGGTGGGATGATTGGTTACCTATTTCTGCAGTGTTGGGTGTTCCAATCACCTTCAATGTTTAATAATTCGTATTGTGAACTTGCTAAGTATTGGCCATTGTATATACATGGGAATAGATTTGTTTCCTATTATTGCACCAGCACGCAGATTTTGTACAGTTTGGCAGCAATCGAATACTTGTTCGGACAATTGGGAGGTGCGATCTTTTGAGTCAAAGGATTCGGATTAACTGTGTAAACACCGCATGGCCTAGAGCTAAAGCTGAGAGTTGTATTCTCAATGCCCTTTTGAGAACCAACAGAAAAGACTGGCTTCTGAATAAAATATGCAATCCAAAAATAAACTACTTAAAAAAAAAGTTCTCTTGCTGGGAGGGTGTCGGGAGGTGAAAAGTTTGACCTCTGCCACGGAGCACCCCAGAGAAAGCCTCTTCTCTCCATTCACTGTCGGCAAACACGCAGTTTTCTGCGGACAAAAAATGCAGTCTACCTGAAAACAGGATTAGCCTAATCCACACACCCTGCTGCCACCAGGCCTGCACTTCAGAGCATGGCCAGAGATTCTTTCTCACCCAGTGTTTCCTGGTAATGGTGTGCCAGGGAAGAGCCCGTTTTGCAAACTGGTGGGAACTACCACTTTGGAATGTTGCATCCACTCATCTCCAGACTGCCGCCTCCCTAACAGTGACCTAATGGGAAGCTCTGAGTGAAAATTGCAGCTTTTTGCAGTCTTTTTCCAGGCGTGGTTTGGTACGATAGCTTTGCAGTATAGAACGTGCGATGGGTGCAAAAAATTGTCACTTAATATATTGGAATTGTTATCTGTAGCAGAATTTCATTTCATGGCCACAACAACCGCTCTTAAAAGTTGTCCTAACAAGAGTAAACCCCCCCTCCCCTCAAAGTCGAGATCAATGATCATAAATATTGTTTTCTCTTGGATAAGAGTGGCATTTAAAGCTGTAGTTGTCAAGTGATTAATTGCCTGACCTCGAGCAGGTGGCAAGCCGACTGTGGGACTTTCGGTGCCCCACTCTGGGGCTGAGTGCCAAGTGGAAGGACAGTTGGGGCATGAGTGTTTTGGGTGCATTGGGAGTTGTGCGAAGGTTAAAGAAACAAACTGGCAATCGCCGGAAAACTAAGTGGACCACTTTACATCCCGAAGTTTTGTTTTTCTCTCTCATTGCATTCGTTCAGGGTGGGAAAAAAATATATGAACACAAATCTTGAATCTTTTGGACAATTTTCTTCTGCGGTGGGACAAATTGACCTTCATTGGACTAATTGAGGGTGTCTTCCAACGCGTTTCCCCCGGCAGGGACCCTTTCCTCTCTCCAGCCCACCACCACCGCCCCCACCCCTCTCAACCTCTCCCACCAGCCCCACTTCTACCCCTCACTTGCTCGCTCGGTGGGGTGGCCACTGTTCCCAGCGTGCTCAGGCCAAACTGAGGGGCCGGTCTCCCGGACGACCGTGCTGCCTGACAGATGGGGGTTGTAATCGGAGTCCCCGGAATAATACCACTCGTATGTCCACCATTGTGCTCTATCTGCGTGCGGGGCTGGCGATTCCGAAGGAGTGTCGCTCATCCTGACGGGCGTTCGCTTCTCGTGGGAAGTCTTGGACAGAGGACTCCTCGAGAATCTGCCCCAGAATTGTTTAGTCTTGTTCTTTGTTTTGCATTTGCGTTGTTTAGAAGCAGGTGAGAGCATGCTGGAGTAATACTTTAACGATTCGTTTCAACACACGTTTGAAGATTGAGATGCCCAATGGTGTACTTTTCTTAGTCGCAGGATATTTAAAGTCCCAATTAACCTAGGCAGTGTGCCTAGCCACTCGCTAAGCTTGGTGTTAGTCGGCCTGTTGAGGATCAATCACTATGAAAATTGGAAAGATAACATCTCTAGTCACACGGTTTCCAATTTATTTGCCACCACATTTGACAAGAACGTGCAAAATGATTCAAAATAAGGTGTTCTAATTGGAGAACGGCATAGATTTTCATCTATTTGAAGAGTTGGGATGCAATCAAACTGCCCATCCTACCCTGGATCACGTGCATAGTAGTTTCATATGTGTGCGTCATTGAGAAACCGCACTGCAAAGTAAGCGTATCTTGTTTTGCCCCGGCTCTCTCGGCACTGCTGTAAAACATCAGCCGACCAATGTGTGAAGGGCAGGGCGATGTCCACAGCCCTGTAGCTTGTGAAGTCTGCTGCTCAGACATGCACTGCTGCTTGGCTTGGCTGTTTACTTAAGGTGAAGTGTTCCCACGGTTAGTATGCATAGCTTGGGGGTGGAGGTTGGGGGAGACCAGGCGATTGTCTCCACAATGGGCCATCCATCACAATAGGGTCACCTGCTCTATGGCTGAGGCGCAAGCATGCACAACACACTGGCACTCCAGCCTCGCAGCCTGCACTTAGATCCAGAGTGTCAAAATCATCGTCCGCAGGCGCGCCACCCTTGCCGCCACCGCAATGCGCGTTGCTGGCGCTCTATTGTATGGAGATGGGATGTTCTCGGCACCCATCCCAGGCGGTTAATCTGCCGTGTTGCTTGCTGTTAAACAAACACAACCTGTCGGATGTGCAGTAACACGTTGAGCAAGTCGGAACGGTTTTGGTTATGACCTGTGTAATGTTAAGCATTTTTACGTTTGAGACTTTGAATTTCGTACAAGATAATCTTGTAACTGGAGGCCATAAACTTCAAGCTTGTTTTCCTCCTACCGCCAAAATGAAGATTTCCTTGTTTCTGTAAGAAGCAATCTCATGACCCTAACTGTTAATGTTTCGTGGTTTAAGCTGTAAACGGTGTAATATGCTTCCAGTGGTAAAAAAGATGATGGTACTGGGGGTCAGCGTGTGAGAGTTTTCATGAGCTAAAGATGCATCCCTCCTGTGCTTTTTTTTTCCCGTGTGAAATGAGCACTGTTAAGATTATTGGCACAAAGGGAGGTTTTGTGCTCTCAGTGTGGCCTTTAGTGTGGTGCAGGGGCATCTGCCCGGTGGGACTGCCAATTTGACGCATCTACGGGGGGGGGGCGGGGCGTTGCCTGTTTACAGGGGCTTCCGGCAAAAGCTGTGGCACTGGCTGGGAGCGCAGCGAGCGATAGGTGCAATCGACTATTGTGTGCAATTGTCGTGGGTAACCAACGTGTGGGGGCACTGGTTATTATTGGGAGCAATTTATTTGTATTGATTTTCTTGCATCTCCCTTAAATAAGGGTTTTGTTGTGGTACGAGTATCAACATGACCCTATTGCAATGCCTTTTGGCATACAGGCAAGAAAAGGGGTGGGGTGGTGGTTCATATGGATGTTTGCTTTCGTGACAAACCTTCAAATAAAGTGACGACAGTAATATAATAAACAAGTTTATGGGGTAGAGGAGGCCACAGACAGCAGTTGCAGACAAGTGGGGGGGGGGGCTCTTTGGAGACTTAATTCCCACCTGGCCCTTGGCGTGGCTGCTTTTGAACAGTGAAATTGGATTGGGCCACTGAGCTCTCGGTGAAGTCTTGTTATGCTTTGCATGTCCTGTGAATAGTAGTTTTTAATACTTGCATGTCCATGCATCTTCAGTTGGACAGTTTTAGAATTGAATTTGGAGCTCTTTATTAGCTGGTGTCAAAACTCCATCTAAATTACCACAACAAAACCCTATCTTGTGTGGGCTCTGGACTGTGTGTGGTAACCTTGAAGGCTCCCTTTTTATGGCCCATCCTTCAGTAGGTGGGATTGGGTTCCCTGTTATCCTTGCAATGATCTGGCTGCCTCTTTCCACATTTTGGAGAAATGTTAGACTGAGGTTTTTTGTTTTGTCCTCCGTTCCCCTACCCCATACTCTGTACACCTGCAGCATCATACCTACTTTTTGTTTTTTTTCGGTAAAGTCACGTAGGTAAAAAAAATCAAATAAATGAAAACAACTAAATTAAATCACGACGTTTCGGGCGCAACACAAGCGTCCTTCAGGTGGGGACAACGTAGCGAAAGCAAAACCGCTTACCTATGTGACTTTACCGAAATAACCAAAGTATGAATCTTTGCAGTCACGAAATCTTCAAATCTAGAAGCATCGTACCTATTCACTTGTACAGGTCAACACTGGAGCAAAGCCAATTGCCTCGCTCCAAATTGCGAATTGCTCTGCTTGTAAAATGTCATTTCAGATTTTATTTGGAGTAATTCTGAAGTAAGATTAATACTGCTTTAAAAAATGTTTCCCGTGTCCAAAAAATATTTGCATGATCCAAAACTGGAAATTCCAATTTTAGAAAGTGATCCATCACCCTTGTCGTTGAGTTGTAGAGGTAATGATTTTTAGAAGCCGCCTTGAAGTGTTTCACATAGGTGATAAATGCTTTAACTTCACTGCTATTGAAATGAGCCCAGGAGCCAGCACGAATAAAAAGGTCATTTCAAAAAATGTAGCGCAAAAACAAGCAGACCAATAATTTTCAGCTGTCAAGATGCATGCCTACAGCCCACGGACACTGGGAACCAGACGATTGCAGCAAATTATTTATTTCACAGTTTGTGTTTTTTGGGTTAAATAACCACCACATTAACCCAGGCTAACTGAGCATCACCAGTTCCCACTGTCGTTGTGAAACAAGTTCAGGGGAAAATGTGAGTCTATTAATTTACTGCGTGACTGGTGCAGCGACCTCTTCGCTCCCCACCCTCCTGAGTTCCCGAGCTGCCGAGAGCTCGGTTGTGTGGATGAGTGCTCTGTTAATGAAGGACTTTGCCTGCAACGTACTTTGTACGGCACTTTTTCAGTCGACTTGCAATGCATGCTTTAATTTTACAGCAATGCACCGACCTCAAAATCGTTCACTTGAATCCGTACGTGCGTTGCTCTGTGGACTTGATCTTACAAGGGACATTCCGTGAGCCAGCAAGGGTGGTTAAGAGTAGACGTGAATTGACTTTCGCAGTTCGGTGATGACGCTTGATGCCATGAATTGCCGGGTTCAACTATGGCCCCATTACTTATTGGTATTAAGAACGGGCTGAGATTTTTAAAGCTTGGTTATTACATATGAATGCATGCGAGTTTAAAAACGGTAAAGAACAAAATGATCAATTCTTTCACGCGTGGTGTTTAGTTTTAACATGGTGCCTACATGGGGGTGTACAAATTTGTCTGCTTTCTCGATCATGATCTGTAAATTCTTGACCGTATTGTTTCTTCATTCCATATCTCGGAGTTGATGAGCAATGTGCGCGTGTCGTTTGTTCGATGCGGTCACTCGCAGGTGCCAGTACGGCTGGCAGGGCGCGTACTGTGACCAGTGCTCGCCGTACCCCGGGTGTGTACGCGGCACATGCCGCGAGCCCTGGCAGTGCAGCTGTGAGACCAACTGGGGCGGCCTCCTCTGCGATAAAGGTGTGCGCTCGACATCGCAACCCCCCCCCCACCGCTCCACCATGAGCTGCTGCATATCCTCGCATCGCCACTCGCTGTTCGTGTGCCCCCTCTGCTCATTTTTGACACGTGGGCGCCGATCGGCTGTCGTTGTTTTCATTGGTAGATCTAAATTACTGCGGCACGCACACTCCGTGTCGGAATGGCGGGACGTGCGCCAACACGGAGCCGGATGAGTACACCTGCGTCTGCCCCGAGGGGTATTCCGGCACGACCTGCGAAATCGGTACGTTCCGCGTCTGTTAAGCTGCAGGATCCGGGAGAAGCATCCATTGTCTCTCTCCTTCTTGACCAAGCCTGCCGTGGAACAATCGAAAGCGTTTTTTGCTCTAATGACTTTCACAATGCTGCAGCTTTGCTGTGAAAAAAAAGACATTGAGTGCTATTTCATGGGGGGGGGGGGGGGGGGGTAGTTTAGTGGGGGAAGGGTGGGAGATCTTACTCGTGACGTCTGCTCCGAGGGTTCTGTCTGTCCCACCTACTGTGTTCCGCTCTGCTGAGCAAAACCCCTTAACGTGTTTCCTTGTATTGAGCACCTGGCTCTGTAGTTGCGTTTTTCTGAGTTGAGGGTGGCTATGGATGGGGGAGAGTGCTGGTGTGGAGGTTGTGGTCTGGGTGGGCCATCTGCAGGCTTCATTCTCACGCTATGCATGTTTGGGTCGCAGCTGAGCAGTGACCTCCATCCAAGGCTCTTACTGGGGACAAAACTACTTGGAGTTGTGCTTAACTTGCTCAAAAGGGACATTGGAATGAAGGACGATGGGTCCACCTGGGATTTAGCATTTCCATTTCCGCACGTTAACACTGTTAAAGGTTAAGATAAGATGGAGGTTAAAGGTACGATAAATAAGATTTAAACTTGAATTGAAATACATTCTACAGCTTGATTAAATCTATGACGGAGAGACTCGTAGTTAAGTTTTATGTTTGACAACAGTCCTTCATTCCCCTGCCACACACTCTATGAATGCTGAGATGTCACTATTGTGGGTGTCCAGATGAATATACTTGCATCAGCATTTTAAAGGTGAACATGTAATCAGTCTGACGGATGCAGAAAGTGTAGAAAAAGGCAAAGTGCGCGCATGCCCCATTTTTTTATCGTGGAACTCTGCCCGTTCCCAATGTTGGTAATTCCACATTCATGTGGCAGGGGGGCAGGGTAGCAGAGGAGAACTGCAGGTAAAAAGAAGCAATCTGATTTCGTGGATAGATAAATAAATAAATTGGGCTTGGCACAAGTGTCTCCTGGAAGCAAGTGGAGATGGCGAATGCGAGCGGTACGCGAGGCAGTTGGCTATGGGTGAGGCGCCACAGCTATGCGTAACACAACCCGTTGTTTGTTCAGCGCTCTGAAAATTATTTTCTCTCCTGAAATTCTCTCCCACACAGCCGAGCATGCCTGCCTGTCTGACCCCTGCGCCAACGGCGGCAGCTGCCACGAGACGCCCTCGGGGTTCGAGTGCGTCTGCGCTCCGGGCTGGACGGGACTGACCTGTTCATATGGTAACGGGCACACGTGGGGGGAGACTGTCTGGGGTTGCCCTGGGGGGCGGGAGGGGGCATTGGCCTTCGTCAGCCCCCCCTTTCCTTACCCCCATGCTATCGTGAGATTTAAGTTCACGGGAACGAGATTCGTTGGTTTGCGTCCAAACCCCCCCCACACACCACCTTGAAATAAATGCATTTCTGGCAAATAGCTGCCCCCTTTCTGCCGCCCACCCCCTCCACCACAACACAAAACCTACAACTTTCCCTTCTCTGCCAAGGAAACTGAAGCCATACCAAAAGGGAATGACTCTGGAAAGTGATCCGTTTCTATTGTTGGTGCGCACTTTAAAGGCTACGCCGGTGCCACGCGATACGCCGCCAGCGAACCCAATACTCTCGCTGCATTGTCCGCCTCTAATTTATCACGCATGATTAGTAGCATAATTACAAATAGATCTAATAAAGGATTTAAAGCATTGGATACATTATCTGTGCGTAATTAGGACGTATGGCAGCCCTGTCCCCAGGGACAAAGGGCTGTCTGTGGTTTTTGTGACTCTACCCCCTGATGGGTGGCAACTACCTCCGATCAATACTGCAGCGGTCCCACAGAATAGACTTCAGCTGCATTTGGTGCTAAAGATTGATTCGCTAATCTTTTGAATTGATTTTTTCTAATGCTTTTTTTTTCATTTGAGCATTCGCTTACCATAATGGATACCTTGTGTTACGAGCACATTACGGATAATCTCCTGTGCCACCTGCGTGTGATTTGAAATGCAGCTGCACAGTAAAACACGGCACTTAATGGTAATGGTGTGATGCGAATGGGTGGGTTTTTATGATTTGTATGGCTGTCTGCTTAAATACAGTGGGTTATGGCTTTGCAGTTGCATTTACCATCACCCACTTCACCTTGAAGATGTGTATTGGCCCAAATTCTGTAACTAGTAGGGTCCCAGTGCAAGCCACGTCTCCCAGCTATCTTTATTTTTGTTGTTTACACTTGGATGCATCTTTATTAACCGGGCGTTGGTGTCATCCTCGCTTCTTAACGATGCCGTTTCTCTGCAGACATCGATGACTGTGCCTCGGATCCTTGCGGGAATGGAGGAACGTGCCGTGATCGGCTCAACGATTTTGAGTGCCGGTGCCCGCCACAGTGGATGGGCCGCACTTGTCAGCTCGGTACGCATGCCACAGTGCGGGAGGAGAGTCCCGCTCCCTGCGAGTGCCGCCAGTGCGGACTAGAGGGCACAGTACACACGGCACATCTCTGCAATTTGTGCCACCCTAGCAGTCTTAATTTGGCGATTTTTTTTTATATCTTGTTTACTGTAAATGCATAAAATTGCTCGACTTCCACCAGGTCTGTTTTGTTATTTTGTGTCGTGGCGTCAAGTCGATAGCAGCAGATTTCTGAATGATGGGTGAATGTAGTTGCTCATACCATAATTCCAGGGCATTTATTCACATTTGACTTTTCCACTGGTTTATGGCATCTGTTGAAATTCTGCAAAATCGACTTATTTCTTTAAACTGGTTCATAAACTATTTTATGTTCCAGGGGTGAGAACAGTAGCGGTGATTGGCACACTTTGCTGTAAACTGGGCTACCTGAGTTTCTGTGTTTTGGCTAACCTTTGTGACGAGTGACAGCTGAATGAGTCCTGAACCACAACCCGTGGCCACAAGGCCGCACTGAACTGCGTGGTTGACTATGGTCAACACTTGATAACTTAAACGGCATAGGGGAGGGGGGGGGGGGAAGAGGCCTTTGTCCTTCAGTATATTGACAAAAGCCTGAATAATACATAAATGCTCGTTGTTAAATAGTTAACTGTCTGCCATTTCATTGTTTTCATTTTCAACAAATACGCACAGTTACCAAGAGCGCAGGCGTGTTTGCCTGCAGGCCAAGTCGCTCGTGGCGGTTGCATCAATTGCCCCCCTGTAAAAACCGTCTATGTTGCATGCAGATGCGAACGAGTGCGAGGGGCAGCCGTGTGTGAACGCCAAGTCCTGCCGAAACCTGGTGGGCAGCTACTACTGCGACTGCCTGCCGGGTTGGAGCGGTGCCAACTGCGACATCGGTGAGTAGTCCCCCACCGTGAAAACGCGCACCGCTCTTCTGCCGGGTGGCGATGCTCTTCATTCTTGCCAGGTGGTTGGTAAGGGCCCGCCTGGCCTTTTGCTGCTTTGCGAAGCGGGCCATTACAACTTGGGGATTTGACATTTTATACAAGGAAAAGTCCTCATTATGATCTTCTTGAAGTAGTTTTCTATAAAATCTTGACCCCCCCCCCCCCCCCAAACAATTAATTTAAAACGTGTTTGCTTTGTGAAAGTTGAACTTGAGAAAAAAAGTTCCACTAATGGCCATGCCTGTTGTTGGTTACGCTTTCGTGTAGACACCTGGGTTGTGCTGGCATCTGCCCGCTGACAGGTGTTGAATGTGATTACACGCGTGCTGCTGTTTATGGGCATTAATGGTTAACATACGCAGTTGGGGCGATGACGCGCGTATAGTGTTGGTGGCATTCAAACACAGCTGTGTGCATTCACCTGCGATTGTAATCGTTTGGAGGAGCTGTAGGCATTTTGCAGCTGTAGGGTGCTGTGCTGAGCTTGTGTTAATGTGTGCCCCCAAGTGTTGTAATATGACGTGTGTTATTTTTTTAAGTGGTCCTTAAATGGTATTTTAATTTCTTTAACATTTCTTTTCAGACATTAACGACTGCCATGGTCAGTGCCAGAATGGTGGGACTTGCACGGTAAGGCCTACTCCATGCTGAATTATCTTCCCGTATCGTGTACGCACGCGCACACACACACGCAGGTTCCGGTGTCAATCCACAACAAATCGAAGCTGCGCACTTCTCTAAAATTTGCTCAGCATTTGCTCTCGTGAGAAATGTTGACTTTTTTCGATACATTTTTTTCAAGTGTTTCTAAAGAGCAAAACTGCTTTTGAAGATGGTCAAGCAGCGAGTGAATGTTGTGGTTGCAGCTGCGTGACAGGCGATGAGCTCCACTACCAATCAATCCGGTCAGGCTGGTCACGGGTACCAGCATGTGCCACCATTGCATGGTTTATAAGATTTCCCTAAAGTTAGGCAGCCTTTTTTACCCGTGCCCAATGCCTATACCTGGCCCCTGCTACAGCAATACAAGGAACTGGAGCTGGGGTTGATTCTAGGACAAGTTTAATTTAATGTGACTTTATTTTCACCTACGTGACTTTACCAAAAGTCACAAAAACTTCAAATCTAGAATGTGACTTGGTTTTTTTGCTGCCATCGTTTACACCAACGGGTCTCGTGCAGGCTGGGTTTTGCAAGCCATCCCATTTTATCTCTGCTCGAGTGATGTTAATCAGAATTAAACACGTTTTAAAATTGTAGTTCTGCAAGTTAATTTAAAGCACTGCGTCACATGCATACGTATATAGCGGCGATGCAAAGCAAAAGCCTTTTCGTGTCTTTTACCACAGGACCTGGTGAATGGCTATCGCTGCACATGCCTGCCAGGGTATACGGGCCGCAGCTGTCAGCAAGAGGTGGATGAGTGTGCGAGCTCGCCCTGTCTGAACAACGGGCAGTGCCAGGACCAGCTCAACTCGTTCCGCTGCCTCTGCCCAGCCGGCTTCTCTGGCCACCTGTGTCAGGTGAGGGAGGAAACGTTATTTGTGTAAAAAGGATGGTGCCATCGCGCACAGCCACCTCCAGTCAATGGCGAGTGTAAAACCGTGTGTAAAATGTTATTGGCATGGTAATGACGCGCCCCTCCGGTTCCTCGCTGTAGTTGGACGTGGACTACTGCGAGCCCAACCCGTGCCAGAACGGAGCACCCTGCTTCAACCTCAACACGGACTACTTCTGCAGCTGCACCGAAGACTACGAGGGGAAGAACTGCTCCCGTCTCCGTGACCACTGCCGCACCAGCACCTGCCAAGGTGAAGCCCCCACATCGCCCTCGTGTGTCATGAAGCGCGAGGCATTACTCGGCACCGTATGTGAACTCGCCCTGTTGAAGACGAATTTTTTACTTGACGTAGCAGATGTTTATTCGCTTTCATCCGACCACTGTCCTCTACATGTTGGTTGACCCAGCGCGCATCGTTCTTATGAGGTCGACAACAATGAGCATCGGTGTGAAATGGTGTGCATCTTATATCTAATATGGGGAGATTGGTCCCCATGATTGGAATGTGGAATTTTGCATTGCCTAGTTAAGACCGACTGATGGAATTGCACAGAATAGACACTTTGACCTCTTGAACTTTGCAAGTGATTTTTCTTAATGACCGCTTTTGTCGCACGGCAGTGATTGACAGCTGCACGGTGGCGGTGGCTTCCAACTCGACGCAGAGTGGCATGCGCTACATCTCATCGGGGGTGTGCGGTCCTCACGGCCGCTGCGTGAGTCAGGGCGGTGGCAAGTTCACGTGCTCTTGCGACGAGGGCTTCACCGGCACCTACTGCCACGAGAGTACGTCCCCTGTCCCTTGCTTAAAATCCACTTGCTTAATTCTTAGTTGCCTGCTGTGTGATAGTGCTTGTTCTCTTTGAGCTAATATGCATTCTTCCCATCTCTAGACATTAATGACTGCACTGTCAATCCTTGCAAAAACGGGGGGACTTGCATCGATGGTGTCAAGTCCTACCAGTGCATTTGCCACGAGGGCTGGGAAGGAGACGTCTGTGAAATCGGTAGGTATACTCTTTAACATTGGGTGTTAGTTATGCTTGCGCATTTATGTATGCCTTTCCTACTTTGAATTCCGTGTTGTGAACCTTGGAATGCTGCATTGTCTTAGATTGTTAAAATGTTAATTTTGCTTTCTCTGTTTCAGACACCAATGACTGTTCTCCAAACCTCTGCCAGAACAGAGGACGCTGTCGAGACCTGGTTAATGACTTCTACTGCGAGTGTCGCAATGGGTGGAAGGGCAAGACCTGTCACTCAAGTACGAGCTGTTTATTTACTCAATAAATGTGTGCGAGTGCGAACAAGTAATGGTGACCTGAAATGTCAAATGACTTTGTGGGGCACCTTGAACCGAACCTTTTCTTTTGTCAATGCACATCGTGTAAAATTGTCCACGCACATGCAGTGTGGTGGCATTTGGAGTGCATGCTTTAATCGTCGTCTGGTTGTGTCCGTTCGTTCAGGGGAGAGGCAGTGCGACGAAGCGACTTGCAACAACGGCGCGACATGCTACGACCGCGGTGACTCGTTTGCCTGCCTCTGCCCAATGGGCTGGGAGGGTGCCACGTGCAGCATCGGTAACGCTTTGTGTGCCCGCATTGTTGACCACGCATCCAGAAAATGTGCTCCTCCTGTAGTTTGTGTTGGGAGGAGCATGTGGTGGGGGGGAATTATTGTGCCCACTGCCCTCCTTTTTCTGTTGAATGTACAGTTGAACCCCCTATTAATGACGGCCCCTGTTAACGACCAATTGCTTAACGATGGGCCTCCATAGAGCCCAATGTGTTCACTTACCAACTTCCCCTGTTAACACCGGGCTATTTGTAGGTACAGTAATATTAATTAATGCAATGATTAACAATGTTTATTTTTTTTATATTGTGTTTTTAGAATATTATGTATTCATATGCATTTAAATATTATAAAGTACATTTTTGGAGTGAAAAAGGGTAACTTTCAATGCTGTCCAACCGAATTAAGCCTTTGACATGTATTTAACAACCGGTTACGTGGAACTAATTTCTGTCGTTAAGAGGGGTTCGACTGTAATCATTCTCTTTTTTCCTTCTCGCAGTGCGGAACAGCAGCTGCGCTTCGAACCCGTGCATGAACACCGCCACGTGCGTTGGCAGCGGGGACTCGTTCACCTGCGTCTGCAAAGAGGGCTGGGAGGGACCCACCTGTTCTGAAAGTAAGTGCTCCATTCCGTCATTTCCCTTTCCCGTGCCCATGAAGTAGTTCCGTCGTTTTGGTTTAAGTTTGAAAATATTGAAGTGCATGGCAACAAATGTATCCAGTTACCGTGCACTTTTTCTTTTGGCTTGGCCAACTTTACACGTTTTTTTATGGGAATGTGCAGTTGAAATGGCTAAACGACGCGCTTGTGGTAATGCGTATTCTGCGGCCAATGGGCAGTGGTTGCAAGTCTTTGTGGCTCATCCCAGAAATAAGGACAAAGCCCACACGACTTTACAGTTTGAGCCTCTGGTTTATAAATCAGATTATTCCGCGGTGCAATCTATTACCGTAGGAGGGATGGCGAGAGGTGGTTTTGTGGCTTAACACTGCGAACTGCAAATGTAATATGGTAACCAGTCACGGCTGACATTACTGGCAATGAGTAGTAACTTAACCTGCCCGGGGCTCTCCTTAACCAACCAGAACTGACTAGCGTGGTCATGTATGGTCATCATACAACCCTCATGACCAGCACACAGGAGTGTATTGACAAAGGACTACATTGTCAATGTTTTGTCCACAAACTGTTAGTAATTGGAAGGGGTGGGGCAGGGTTGGTGGTCTTGGTAGGATGGAGGTGCCATGGTGAAGATGTTAACTACCTCTCTTGGAAAGCAGGAGGTCGTGGGTTCGATCCTGACCCTGATGCCTGTGTATTTGAAGTTTGTATGTTCTCCCTGTGGTCACGTGGCATTTTCTCCCAGGTCCTCAGGTTTTTCCCTCCGCATATGGAAACAAACGTTTAGAGTATTTGGCTACTACATATTTCCACGTGATAAGCCACTTCATTGAGGTATCATTTGTGGCCAGGTCGCTTCTGAAAAAGAGCTATATAGCTCGTGGGCCTTACCTGGTAAAAACTAATGTTTTTTTAAAGAAAGGCGACAGGAAAATGCCATGAATTTTTAAAGACTCTGTACACTTGCCCTGAGGGATTTCTGGAGAGGGAATGTGTATTCCTTTTGCTTCTTTCACAAGCTCGTGCAGCACAATGCACCAGATTATCGGTCACTATGGGCACAGAGCAAACATTTGAGCCCCCCGCCCCCTTTTAAGTATCATCGCGCCACTTGTCATTTCAACAAAACGTGAACTGGGAATCTTATTCTGATTCTTTTCTTCTTTTTTTTTTATTCGCAGACGCCAACGACTGCAACCCACATCCTTGGTGAGTGGAAACTTTGTTCTCTTCATCCCAGTTAAATGCGTTTTTCTTTTTGTGGCCTAAGCCTTTTAATGGGGACAATATAGGCCTTCATGTAGCGCTGCTGTGCCACATGGTGTGCAAATAGAGTCGATGCCCTCGCTAGCACCGTTGAGATGCACATCCGAGGCCGGCCATCAGCATTGTCAGATGTGTCCCCCCCCACCCACCGACCCCCTTTCGCCCTGGCGAGCCTGGCTTGATTTACCACGCTTTTGAGGTTACTGGGGGTTTGTCCTTTTCTGCATGAAACGATTTGCTGATGGCTGTGCTCTGTGTAATCTCTGCAGCTACAATGGTGGCACTTGCGTGGATGGTGAGAACTGGTACCGTTGTGACTGTGCCCCCGGATTTGCTGGACCCGACTGCAGAATAAGTGAGTCTCTCGTTTTGTGCCTCCTTTAATCCCGATTCGCACCAAAGCCACCGATGCGTAATTGATGCAGGATTTCCATGCATCCACACACACTTGTTGCTGTGCAGCAGCCAGACAGTCCATTGTTTTCACAGCAGTGCTCAATCACCAATGCTAGGTTTACTGTCAAGTCGCCGCTTCTGTTTGTGCTGATATAGGCTTAATAGTTATTGTTTTTAGCTGGAAATAATTTCACGCAAGCTGACGTTGAAAACTCCTTGTTTTTTTTTGTTATGCTGCAGATGTGAACGAGTGCCAGTCCAACCCCTGTGCCTTCGGGGCGACGTGCGTGGATGAGATAAACGGATTCCGCTGCCTCTGCCCCCATGGACGGAGCGGCTTTCGCTGCCAAGATGGTGCGTTGATCTCCTCCAATGATCATTCTCTATGTGCCTGGCAGCATTCTGCTCCACCAAATGCCCCTCCTGTCTTGCTCATTGTGCAAAAAAAAAGCAATGACATTCAATTTGAACGATCCTTACGTGACTAACTGGCAGTGTGCCCAACTTTAACGCTTCACCGAAAATTGCTTGTGGTCTAAGCCAAGCAGAATACTGGCCGAAGGCTGTTTATACATCGGACGTATTGCGTCTCGCAGACACAGCAGCGTAAGTGACTCCTGACTCTGCCCAACAGTTTATGCCAAGCCGTGTCCGTGGAACGGGAAGCTGTATGCCAGTGGTGCCAAGTGGGACGACGAGTGCAACCTGTGCCAATGCCTCAACGGCAGGACCAACTGTACCAAGGTGGGATCGGAGTTCTATTTTACACTCCAGTAAATGTGAATAATTGTGTAATAATAAACACTAATATTTAGGAGTTGTGGAATTCTGCTTTAGGGTACACAAACAAAGCTAGCCTCTGGTGTAAATGGATTGTGCTTCCCCCCCCCCCTCAACTCCAAACATTATTGCATTTTTCTAATGGCTATTGCGAATTTATGAAATGTGAACTTTTATTGAATCTAACAATCTCTTTCCCCACCACCCCCCCCCCCCCCCTTTTTGACCGTGGATGTCTGATGCAGCTTTGGTGCGGCGGAACTCTGTGCCTGACCAGTGGGAAAGTGGTTCCCGGCCCCGACGCTCACCGCTGCCCCACTGGCCAGAAGTGCATGGCAACGCCTGCCTCCTCATGCCTGGCAGCACCGTGCGACTTCTGGGGCGAGTGCTGGCCCCGGCCCGAACCCACGAGAGTGAAGTGCCGGCCCAACCATCCTGGCCACGCCGACACGGAGCCCTGTACCCGCCTCGCACTTACCCTCGACCTCTTTCATCTCCAGCCGGTACGCCAACCCAACTGCTAGAGACTATCCTGAAATCACAAGGGTGTAGATAGTTGAGACGATTGCGAGATTTTAGGGGGCGGTGAAATTGCGTGCGCTTTTTCGTAGAACATTTTGCGGCAGGTCATAGTTGGTATAATAATTGTTCAATAAACTTGTAAACTAAATAAATTTGACAGTATAACAGAATATGCGCTGTGGTGTCCTCTGGTTTTTGAACATGTTTTATGTAGTCAGCCCCACGGCTGGTGCTGTAAACGGTTACGTCCATCCGCTGATCCTTGTGGACTCTGGCGCAGGGAACATTGGTGGAGCACGTTTGCTCAGAAATTCGTCGTCTCCCCTTCTTGCGGGATCTGGCGCGAGAGCGACCGCTCTACATTCTGTGCGACGCATCCGATGACTCGGATGGCAAGGTGGCGGTGGCCGTGGTACGAGTCGCACTCCCGCAGCGGCACCTTCACCTGCAGTCACAAAACGGCGGTCGCTTGACGGAATCCACACTGAATGTGTAACCCAGAAATGTTGGGTGATATACTCGCATTTCTAAAGGCTCTGCAATCAAAGCTCACTTAAGGGTGAATTTAACCTCTTTCTGCAATCGATAGTGGGTGTTGCTATCTTTATGATAAATCTGCAGTATCCTTGGAGATACTGAGCCTCCAGATGGCTACATACGGTGCAAAAGAAGTTATACATATATACCCGAGCCACCATTATATAAATATGGTACTTTTTTACCGGTGGCACCAACAATAGAGATGAGCAGTGAAATCCCTTGCATGTTCAAGGAGATAAAGTTTTAGATTTGATCCATTAAGGCTATTATATTGTGACTGTTAAACAGTCATTTTAAAGTTTGTGCTATTGTTGTTACTAATTTTGTGCAACTCTCGCGTGTCTCAGTCCACGGAAGAGCAGGTGGGCGGGCTGCGCGAGGGTGCGTTTGTTCGCGACGTGGTGGCACGGCTGCTGAACGCCTTGCGCCACGGCAACGGCACGGTGTTGGCGGCCATCACGGAGGTGCGCGTGGAGACGAAGAGGTCAAGTCAAACTGCAGGCTCAGGTGAGCCTCTCCATTGCATTGTTCCAGTAGCAAGCAACTGCCTCGTTAGAATTAAGCCAAGCCTTTGTTGTTTATCTTTGCATGGTATCATTCTTGAGGATGTGCTATTTGTCAGTTTGTGTAAAATACTTCCCTGAAAAAACTTTGTCATGAAGGGGAGACAATCTGTATAACCAGAAATCATTCATCTATATCTCGGCACAATTGTTTACCCGTTTCAAAGCTGCCGACAGATTATATATATATTTTTAAACGGTGTGGATTTTTGGCTTTATCCATGCTCTCTGCCAGGTTTGCGTGCATGCTTCAGGGGTCACATGGTCATTCCTGTTTTCCTCAGATTATCTGGTGCCAATCCTGGTGTCCCTGCTGCTGGTCGCCTGCCTGGTGTGCGTGGCCACATTTTGCTGCTGTTGGCTGCGGTATTACCGGCGGCGGCAAGACAAACGTGCTGGCATCCCCGAGTGCGAGGCTGGCACCGCGGCCAATAACCAGGCAGAGAAGCTCAACCAGATTATCAACGACTTCGGCAGACCTGGCGGAGGAGGTGATGGAGGTGGTGGAGATGGCGGCGATGCGGAAGATGAAAGTTTTTATAAGCTTCCTAAAGACCTCGAAAGGGTGGACATGGAGGCGCAGGAGATGGCGAAGTTGGGACGACAGCTCCAACCGCCGCCGCCACCACCACCACCGCTGGCGCAACAGGGGAAGTTCTCCAAGGCAAGATACGCCCCCGTAGAGAGGGAGGAGCCCCTGAGCACCCCCGTGAAGCAGCCGAACCGGACAAAAAGGGACAACAGAGACTTTGAGAGCGCCAAGAGCCCCATGACGGCCATCGATGTTGTATAGTGAACAATTGCCTTGATTTGAACAAGAGCATTTTCATTATTTGTCGGACTTAATTGCAGCTCTAATTAAAGATGTATTGAAGATGTTGGACTGATTCTCATAGTGATGAGGATTGGGATTGCATTTATTATTTTGTGAGATGCTGCGGACTAGGGCTTGGGGAGTTAATTTTGTACATTTTTAGGAGTGACAAAATGCCTTTTTTTTACATGTCAAAACTGAAAAAGATCAAATTGCAGAATTTTTGCAGCAATTTTGAAATATGCAGTTTAAATTTTGTTTTAAATCTTCCCAGTTTTCTGGTTTTTAAGCAAAATAAAAAGGTTATCCGCCTAAACTCCTTGCCTTAATTATGCAACGTTGCATAATCAACACTGAGTTCATGATTTGAGCTGAAGATGTGAATATTGGCTTAAATGAAGTAAATGTTACAAATGAAAAGTGACTTGGAATATTTTCACAACAACATTTGAGAAATGGTGCGGAACTTAAGTCTGCTTGTTTTTGTAAATGTATGTGTATATTTGATTATTTTTTTTAACTTAAAAATATGTACGTTCTGGACAAACTTCATTCCTGTTTTGTATTATTTATGCTTCTTTGATTTTAAACTGAAGTTTTGTCGTTTTTTTTTTGCGACCGTATACAAATGGCGGCCTGAATGCCACGCTGTGTGCGTTTTTTTTTCCCCCGATGCAATCATTTCACTGTTTGGTGCAGCACCGACCAAAAAGTCTTCACACTGTAGTTTTTACTGACGATCGCTCTAGGCTGAAGTGGGGGGCGCGGGGGGGGGGGGGTTCTCCGTGAGCACTGAGGGAGGGGGGGGGGGCACAGGGCACAGACGTTTTGGTTTTCTTGCCGTTAAGTTGCCTTCATGAAACCAACGATTTAAAAAAAATGCCTTCCAATGTTCACCCGTTTAGACTTTGACGTGTGAAAGTGCACATTCAAGGGCACGTCTTCTTTGTACACTCACGTCTTGTTTAGTTGGTTTGCGGTAGGGAAGGGTGGCTTTGTGTACGATAATAATTTGGAGCACGAACGGTGTTGGTGGTTATTGCCTTCAGCAGAAAAGCAAAAAAAGTTTATTTGTTCACGTGATAAGAGGTGCTTCATATGGATTGTTTAGAGCACTAATATTTTGTAATAAAATTAAAGTTGTATATCAAGAAGACCATGTTTCGCTATCGGATACTGTTGATGAAAAGTTGTTATTCAGTTTGAGATGCATCGTTCGTTGGAATCAAATACTTTATTGTTCATTGTGCTGCCATTCAGACCAAATAGCACCGGTTGACTTGTTAAATTTTATGTAAACATGACGTCTTGAACGGCTTATTTAAGCCGGCTTGCCCATTAAATTTACACGCGTGTCTCGTCAGATTGTTTCCTTAATGTCTGAATATCTGCAAAGCGTGTGGTGGTCCTTGAGCTTTTCCGATACGAGTACTGCAGTGAAGTAGAAAATTCGCGTTCCCGTGTAATGTGTGAACTTCTCTTGCACCATACGTAGCCAACCGTGTTAATCCGGGGGGGAGGGTGTTAAGGTTGTGACGAGAAATTGCACGCGTGGCAGCTGTGAACCAGAACGATGAAAGTCTGTCCCGTCCCAACTGATTTGGAGAATGTATTGCTGTATTTTTTCAAAAACGATTCGGAAGTGTTGTGCAAGTGTACGGTGGGACTTTAATCGTAGACTGCAGTTACAATCAGTGGAGTGATGCACTCAACTGGTACAGGGGGGGAAAGGTCAGGGGGTTAGTGGGGGTGCCCTGGGCTCCTGTGTGCTGTTAGTTGGCTTTCTATAATTTTCTTTCCAGATAGTGTACGTAATTTCCTACTTTGTTTGCGGATGTTCGACGTCTTTAAATTATTAAAGTTTGTATGAAATAGCTTTCGTGTCGTCCCGTCCCCCCACCTCTTGGCTTGTGCTGGAGCCCACTTTCATGATTAGTGATGAGTGTGCAATGGCGCTCTGGTAATCGGCTTCAAGGGCAACAACAGCAAAAAATCCCTGCACTTTCACCCTACTGTGCATCTTTCTCAAGCAAATGTTTATCGGTGAGTAATGACTCTTGGGGTGGCTGAGGATTTTTACCGAGGATGGTATGGGATGCCGTTTAGATTTGTGTAAAACTCTTTTTTAAGCAGCTCTTGCCACGGAGAAGTGTTTTCAACTATGTCAACAAATGCATTGGTGGCTTTGTTATAGAATGTGTGTGTCTCCTTTTCGAAGTAGTTTGACACCTTTTTGAATTATTCCTTTTGGCGTTGTGTTAAATAGATTTTTAAATTGACCCGAAGTCTGTTCACTTTGATGCATGTCTCAACATTTCCTTTCCTCCACTACAGCCCCACTAATTGCAACTTCCTATTCCCAGGGGGCCTGGGAACAGTTTTGAAGATGGAGCAAGCAGCTGAGAGAGGCCCTCCCTCCCCCAGAGGAATATTGATTTGGAGTCCGCCTAGGCGTGATCCTCCTGCCCTCTTACCATGCTTTGTGTGTATTTAATGTGGTGGATATGGCAAGTTGTAGTAGTAGATCTGGTGATTCTGGTTTTCACTGGTAGTGCTGCAGATGGATGTAGCGGTAGTTTTTGATGGTCGTGGTTTTGATGGTGGCGTTTTGAATTTTGCAGATGAGTAATCCTAAAAACCCGTGTCTAATTGCCATTTGGGGTTCTCCCCTAAAAGCACCGCTTTTAGGGGAGCAGAACTGGGTCTTGTGCCCCCTCTGCATCCACGCTGATTAAGTCTACAATTTCCTGCCACATTGTATTTAACTTCCAAGACTGCTACGAAGCCAAACATTGGCATGCTGCCGTGATGTAATGGTTAGGACAATGGGCTTAGAATTTAGAGGTCGCTTGTGTCAATTACCGATAGTGCACTTGAAACCAAGGGCAGGTTTTTTTTATGAATCCCACCGCTGCTGTCCACCCAACAGCAGTATAAAGTGGGTAAACCACTTCATTCGCAGGTTCCGTGTGGTGGGGTAAGGTGTGGGTACGTCTCCCGCTTTCAATGTGGAAGAGTAGGCCAAAATAGCCTTGGAGGGCCTTCCTGAGCTCCCTCAAGTTGAAGCCCTTCTGTCAGCAGTGGCATGAGCAAGTAATTGCCGGGCTGCACGTTTTTACGTGAGTATCCTCCACATGCATTTAAGGCTCGGGTTCTTCTAATTTCATTGTTAGCCCAACTGACCTATAAGTAACCAACATTACTTTGACGCAGACCTCTCAATCCATTCAAAATGGTAAAATGCTGTCTTAAGCCGCACCGTGCGAATTCAATACATCCGTTGACCTCCAATTTGGGACGACATCCACATTCTCACTTTTTGTTTACTGCCACCTGTGGCAAAGAGCAAGAACCCCGTCCCTAAGCACTGCCATCAACTTGCTCTTTGGAAATCTCCCCTTCAGGCACCAGCGCCTTAATCTACCCAAATCTGCCAAGCCGCAACTCCGGTTTCTCGCTAAGAAGCCGACATCGTCCGTATAATTCCCAAGCATCTCTTGCAAATCACCCATTGTTTAAATGCGAGTATTCTATGGATGTGCACAAGAACCAACTGAGCACAAGAACCCACTGCAAGGGTTGACCCGTCCTATAATTTCACGATGCAGACTATAACAACCTCCAAGCATGCTAGATCGTCATTCAAACGGGAGCGAGCTTGCAACTGGACAAATCAAGATGGGAGAGTTGTGCTTTAACGCTCTGTCCACTTGAGTTGTGTGCAAGGTCTGCATGAGAGGAGAGTATCGTAAGGCTCGTGCATTAAATCGTCCCCTGAACGACTACACTCGCAAGCTACGCATCCGAATTGTTACGTCTAGTATGGATGGGACTTGTCTCCTATTTGGGAAGCCATCACAACAAATTGAACCAGGATGCAAGCCAGAAATATCTGAACGCTCATCCATCAAAGTGATGGAATAATCCAGCACCAGAATTGACACGTACAGTTTTGAACCCAACATTGGTTAATACGAGTAACAATAAGAACCAGCTGAACTCTCAACCAATACAACTCGTACAATCGTGGGTTTTGGAGAGAGGAAAAAAAACGTGCATGCAAGCATTGCCTCATCTGATTGCGGCACGCATGACATGTTCCGGCGTTACGAGGCCATGCTACTTGGAAGATTCTAGGCTTTTCTCCTTTAGACCCCCAGGTGAAGGGTGCAGGACTCCGTGTCCTGGGCACACGAGAGAGTATCCATCGCCAAGGTAACACTCGTTGGGGAGTTTCGCGGGCCGCGTGCAGCAGGAATGAATGTTCAGAGTGTGGAGTGCGCCCGAGTGTTTGCGCGCATCTTGTGCAGACGGCTCAGTTGCCCCACGTGCCTCTTCCCCATGTTTGTCGCGATTCCGTCTCCTTGGCCCTCCGTGCTCAAGGTCGGCAAACAACGCGACGAACACTGTGATGATGGCTTTGCGGTTTGACGTGATCGGTGACATAGCCACGGTGAGGGCCACACACACATTCCATCAACGAATCGACATTGGCAAACAATAAAAAAAAGTGAAACGTACCTGAGAGCTGTACGAGAGTCCCAATTTGTTTCAGAAATTATTTCAGGACGATGGGTGATTTTTTTTTTTGCCGGTTTCATGGCGTGGCAGTTGAATCGATGGGGAAAGTGAAATCTCCTCCTCACCGCCTTTGTCCACTAGACAGTAGTCAAATGGGTAACACGACCGTCGATTGCCGGTTTGCGTGTGGTGGGGTATAGCGTGGGTCCTCTCACCTCTTCCCAAATGACAGGCAAGCGTCGAAGAGTAGGCCAAAATACCATATAGAGCTCCTCGTAGGCACCCTTGGTTTTAGCAACGATGTTGGCAGGAAATTGCAGGGTTGCACCTTTACCTGTTACATCACAGCATAGTTAAGACATTGTTAGGAATAACAAAATGCCAATTCAGAAGGTGTTACACCAGGTGTGAGCCAACAGGTCTCCTTTTGCAAAGAAGACCGGGAAATCTGCAATCATTGCCATCTAGAATTCTCATTCGCGCAGTGTTCATGTTTTTGTTTGTTGCGATTGCACCCGAGTCAAGAGCCACATGGCTCACAGGGCTCTACCTAATAAATGAAACTGAAAACTGAGTCTAACGAAGAGACAAACTAGCCCCTCAGTGTTTATTTGACAACGTTCTTGCAATCCTGCAAGTTACATGATCTCCCCTTACATGGAAAATCGCATTAAAGTAGAAATATTTATCATCTAAAATTACATGACCTACACAAGCAGTGACGTTAACAAGCACTAGAGTTCAGGTCGCCTGTGCGCATCTGGTGTTCAAGGCAATCACGTCTGGTTGGGGCAGATGCCCATGCAGATGTGAACGTGGCAATATATCCATAGCCGGAGAGGGCCGTTTTAAAGATTAGGGGACCGTGACAGATCAGGTGGACCTGGGAGCAAACAGTGGCTCTTCGTCGTCAGCTATTTGCGCTCGTAAACTCAAGCAGACAACCTTCGGAGGCTTCAACGAGCAACATCTATTGAAATAATTTCAACGAAATGGTACAGATGAACGATGCCTCACGCACACACAGCCTTGGGGGGGGGGGGGGTGGTGTTGATAATGCACTCCCTTCATATTGTTGGCAATAAAACAGTAGTTTACTTCAAAGGCGCTCGTGCACGAGCCAGACTGTAACTGGGTTTTTTTTCTTCTTCTTCCGATATTTCTGCGCCCTGAACATTTATTGGCAGCTCGTCGTCGCTGCGAATGCTGGCGTGAGATTTCTGCGTTTCACGTCACTCAAAGCCACTTCCTCACGCCCAGGCCTGTTCCCAGGGTGTGGCAAGGATTACAATGACAATGCTGCAAAGTGACTTCATTGGGGACGAGCCTCACAAAAGGTGATCCGATGCAAAGGACACCGCACACCTCCCTGAGAACGTCGCGGAGTGAACCCCCTTTTCTAGAGAGGTAACCGGGTCTTTTCCCGCTTGAATATAAACGTCTGTCACTATTGCACCACCACGGCAAGCATTTGAAAACAAATACATATGAACACATTATGGTTTTTTTTTCTCTCAAAAATATTCTACTGACAAGACGATTCAGGTACACAACACACATGATATAAAAGGGGGTTGACACCAGCACAACATACATTACGGATTAGAGTGCAATGGAAACCTGTCTAAACCGCATGTTTCATTCAACTGTTTCAATAAATTCTACAACCTCCCCTGGTGTCTTCCTAAGCGTCGATACCTCTGTAGGAGAAACAAGGGGAGGGGGGAGGAAGGGGGGGGGGGCCTAAATGCCCGAATGAATGCTCTGAAGAAGCAATGCCCACTGGAGGAGAGGTTTCTTTTTTTTTTTTAAACATGTCAGCAAACTTATTTAGTGAACATTTTTATTTTATTGGTTCTTTCGGTAAAGTCACGTAGATAGAAAATAAAATAGAGATAGCAGATCATTTAATTTTTTTTAAAATTCAAATAATACATTGAAAATAATAAAAGCAAAAAACCCACGTTTCGATCGCAACACAAGCAGTCTTCATCAGGCAGAGAGAAAAGATACAGGTAATGTCCACTCCTGAGTGGCCAATGGCAATGATGATTATGACGTTGTATCCTTTGCACATGGCGGAGGTTTCCAAATAAATTGTGTCATGTGATAATTACAGTGTTGACTGTGCAGACGTAGATTATTGATTCGTTTCTTGATAAAAAGTGATGATGATGATGAGCGTGGAACAAACAGAAGTGGAAAGATCACTGCAATGAGATCTCGGTGAAGGAAACGGTCATGCCCCATTGGCCCAAGAGGCTAAGGGACCAGAAGGAGACCTTTATTGGAAACTCAGTAACGCAATCTCTTTTTCAAAAGGGACCTGGGAAACAGATGCGAGTGCAAAAAACTGCATTCACAATAAAAATTCAAGTGCTAATATTCGATGCCTCACAAGCAAAAAACCCAAATATTTAAAGACAGACACGACAATAATAAAACAGGATACAAGTGAGAGTAAAATGAGGTAGGAACAATGATACCACAACGAAAAGCTATTTACTTTCTCAGCAAAATTTCAAATTTGTCGCAGAAGCACAAGGTGCAGGCGTGAACAACTGCAGAAGGGTCATTCTTGGAGCGAGCTTCCTTTTCAGTTGAGCATTACCCTGCCTTTTCCGTCAATGATGTTCTTTCGCCTGTATGTCAATGGCCTGACACTGTTTTAAGAATACAGCAACAACAAAAAAACCACACACACACACACGTGGGAAAAATGTGCACTCCTCTGCATTCCTTCGTAATGAGTGCGGCAGTAAGGGGAAATAAAGCTTTGTGACCGCTGCAGCAGAGGGAAGCACACCGAATTACCACAACCTCACGGACACCATCGCCCACCCAGTCGCACCGTCACCCTCTCGCTTATGGGCAAAGAAGGCAGACCCCCGCCACTTGTGTCCAACCTGTAACTTAACAGGAAGAGACGACGGCACCTGATATGAATGTAGGTCGATTAGTGTAAAGCAAAGCATTGGCCAAGAATACCACACGATTATGGCAATCTAGGGCATAAAACGTGGTTGTAAAAATGTCATGCCGGCTTATTGGATTCATTACGGTGGATGTGGTACTGTCTTACCCTCCTCGGATACAAGGTTGAAAAAGCCCTTTTTTCCCCTGCTCTCTCTCACGGCTATTAGTGACCGCTGCTATTTAAGCCTGGGAAAAATTCCTTTCTACTGAGCTGTGCCCGGTCCGCTGGATGCCCGCTCCCCCGGCTGGCGTGGCCCACGCGCTCGCTCCACCAGCCATGCAGCTTCGGCGTGCCAATCTCAGCGTGCCAAACTCAACGTGCCACTCCCAAAAGTGACAATCTCAGCGTGCTAAACCCGAGCACAGCCAGCCACCGCATGCCCTGCCCATAGGAGCATTGCCACTGCCACCATAAACTTACTCTCACGCGGCACATTTGACACAAGACCACCTCGAAGCACTGTCCAGTAGATGGGTTGGGAAAATGTATCACCAATAATGTCAATTACATACACGCTATTAATGCAGTGATATACACCCATCATCAATAGCCATGTTCTATCTACTGTCGGAGGCCCCACAATGTATTTGCCATCCCTCACAGCCTTGTGATACCACAATT